GACACCTGAGTGGCATCACGGGGGGTAGGTGAGCTGGGGTGGAAAATGGGCACAGGTGGCCAGTGAGGAGGCGAGAAGGCTAGACCGGGGCCAGGGAAGGGTGGTCCCCGTGTCTTAGGTGTTGAGGCTGCGGCCGCTTGTAGGTGGAGAAGGTCGGTAAGCAGAGCATTGACACATTCGGTTCAAGAGCGTGGAGGCAGCTTTGAAGGACAGCTCGTAACGCCCGGAAACTTGGCATCGGGGCGGCTCATTGAGAATTTATGGGAAGCTCTCTAGCTGTGGCTCTCGGGTTGGGAGCCTTCCACCCCTTGTTCCTTTGAACAGGGCAGACGGTTTTTACGAGGTGCATTTCCTGCGGGATCAGGGGCCAGATTTAGGGGAGCTTTTTCTCCAGACACCTGCTGCTGCTGGTCAGAGTGAGAAGGGATAGGTCACTGATCTGTGGACCCTGCTTTGCTCTGACACCCAGGTCCCAGCTCCTGTCTCGAGCAGACTCGTCAGGATTTCTAGGGCAGTGGTTCTCAACCTTTCTAATGCCACAACCCTTTAATACAGTTCCTCATGTTGTGGTGACCCCCGATTTCATTGTTACAAATTGAACATAATTAAAGCATAGTGATTAATCACAAAACAATATGTAATTATATATGTGTTTTCCAATGGTCTTAGGCGACCCCTGTGAAAGGGTCGTTCAACCCCCAAAGGGCTCGCGACCCACAGGTTGAGAACCGCTGTTCTATGGGGTACACGACTATTTTGAAAGTTATTCAACATGCCTATACTTTTTTTTTAACAACAAAGAGTGTGGAAAATAAAATGTACTTTAAAAACAAAACAAAACACGGATGCTGAGGCATAGAAGATAGGCCGAGAAATAACTGGGAAGGGGAAATTGGAAGTTGGGTTCTAAAAAGTGGAAAAACAATGTTCTAATCAATATAAAATGACCTATCAGTAAAGTAGGTGCTGCTGAGTTGTGGGGATCAGTCGAGAAAGCACATTAAATTCCAGGGCTGTCAGGGACTTCATAAATGATGTCTGCTGCCCCTGCTAGGAGGCCCTTCTTATGTTGAAATTCACCATTTGCTAGCTGTGTGGCATTGGATGCGTTGTTTAACCTCTCTGGGCCTTTGGTGACTGCTGTGGTCCGTTCCCATGCTGCTGCCCACCGCCAGCTGGCTGGAGGGCTCCGTGTACCTTATCTGCTCCGGGCAGAGCATGGCAGCCCTACATCTTGAAAATTAACCATTGTCGGCGGCCTAGGAGTCTTCACTTAAAGATTTCTCAGGACCTCAAACTGATGAACTTTTTACAGCAGTTTGAGCTGGACTCCACCTCCATCAAGTTCAATTCTGGTTTAAACCAACCTTTACGCATTCTCCTTGCCTTTTCCAACCTAGCAGCTCCAAGGGAGGTGAGGGGAAGGAAAGGGCCTGAGGCTGGGGGGTGGGGAGGGGCTGCATGGGGGACAGGCGGGGAAGGGGAGCCCCCGCCCCTGGCTGCAGGGCTCTGTGTTGCTTAGGTTTCAGATTTGGAACCAGATTTTAGGTCACCTTCTGAAAGCTGGAAAATCATGCCAGCGGGTCAGATTTCTCTGAGCGCCTTCCCTGAGATGATCTCTACTTGGGTTTAATAAAATATTTAGAGGCCGATTGCATTTCACTTGCAGCTGCTCCTGAGGTTGGCAGGTAATACAGTCCCCAGATGCCTCGCGTGGGCTGTCACAAAGCCGAGCTCTCTAGCATCTTAGTTGAGAAGAGTTAACGAAGAAGTTATTATTTAGCTCGAAAGTGGCAGGTTTCAAAAGAGTTCATACTTTGGCCCTAAATCCGTTTGCATTCACTCCTTCCTCCACCGAATAAAACCCATGCTACCTTCTTGGTGTTTGTCGAACCGCAAATCAGTTCCTTGCCATGGACTTAAAATAGAACAACCCTGAGATTTTTCATCAGAATAAAGTCCTCTTTCATTGCATGAGCCTTTTTCTCCAGTGGAAGGGAGAACAAAGCCACACCGTCCCAAAGTGGCCTGCACGGAGCCTCCTATGAGCCCAGTAAATTATACATGTTATGAAACATTGCTGTGTGTGTGTGTGTGTGTGTGTGTGTGTGTGTGTGTGTGTGTGTTTCCAATTCAAGGATCATGTGCCTGGCCTTTCATAAAGGCCAATATTCACAACATCAGAGTTTGGAGTTAGGAAAAGTTTGTTGACCAAGAAGGCTCCAGCTTGAGAAGATGGGAGGCAGTTGCCTTAAAGCGTCTGCAAATCCATCTTAAGAGAGCCCAGAATTCAGGCTTCTTTTATGTCAAGGGAAGGGAGCATGGGCAGGGCAAGAGTGTGTGACACCTCGCCACCAACAGGGATCCGAGGAAGAGTGTGAAATTTGTAAATCTCCTAGTTCCCTGGTCCCTTGACCCCTGCTGATCTGTGTCTGGTCTCGAGGCTCCTGCAAATCTTTGCAGAAAGCTCAGCCTCAAGCAGAATTCTTGCACATCGATAGCAGGAGCTTCTTCCCTGAAGGCCCTGGGAGAAATGCAGGCTGGAATTAAGATGGAGTCAGCGAGAGGGAGCGTTTCACTCGATTACATGCACTGCAGTGATAGTAGAGGTCTTTGGGGAGTGGATTAAAAACCTCTGTCACCCTAGTTTTCATGGTATGGAAACTGGTTGCAAAGCCTTAGAATTTAGGCCATTTGGGGAGGGGGAGGCCTGTGCCATCCATCATGAAATGACCAGCTAAGACTGTTGTTTAATGACTGTACCAATAGCTGCTTTCTGAAGGGTCCCTCTCTGTCCCTGGGGTTGGGGCTCTATGGTTTGTGAGGTCTAGATTCCTATTGGTCTTTGTGATAATTTTGGTGGCTGTGCCGCTGACCCATTTTAGTTTGCTCAGTTTGTATGAGGCCAGATCCCTGTCCACCTAGTGCTGTACCCCCAGTACCACCTCTAAATATGTCGCACACCATGTCAAGGCCTTGCAGAAATTTGAAGTCACCCCCACCCCCTCACCCCCTCAGAGCTTCGGGCTCTTCCCTGGAACTGGGAAATGAAACCGGGTGGTGCTGAGTGCTGTGTGGGTTGAACTTGGCAAAACCAACATCCCTTTTTGCCTGATATACAGGCACAGTTTTGAAACTGCTTTTTTAGATGGGTCATTGGTAGTTTCATGGTCATTTGTTTTCTTTTTAAAAACTAAATGTAGCCGTAACCGGTTTGGCTCAGTGGATAGAGCATCGGCCTGCGGACTGAAAGGTCCCAGGTTCGATTCCGGTCAAGGGCATGTACCTTGGTTGCAGGCACATCCCCAGGAAGGGGTGTGCAGGAGGCAGCTAATCAATGTTTCTCTCATCGATGTTTCTAACTCTCTATCCCTCTCCCTTCCTCTCTGTAAAAAATCAATAAAATATATTTTTTTAAAAATTAAATGTATTGGGGTAACTTTGGTCAATAACATTATATAAATTTCAGGTGTACAGCTTTATAACACAATATCTGTATATTCCATTATATGCTCATCGCCTGAAGTCCAGTCTCCTGTCACCATGTATTTGACCCTTTTACCCTCTTCATCCTCCCCTCACTCCCTTTCCCCTCTGGTAGCCACCATGCTGTTGTCTGTATCTGTGAGTTTGTTTTATTTGTTCATTTGTTGCTTTTGTTTTATATTTCACATGAGAGTGAAATCATATGGTTCTTGTCCTTTTCTGTCTGACTTCATTCACTTAAAGTGATACTCCGAAGATCCACCCATGTTGTCACAAATGGCGGCATTTCATCTTTTTCATGGCTGAGTAGTATTCCATTGTATATCTGTACCCCAGCTTCTTTGTCCAATCATCTGTCAAAGGACAGTTAGTTTTTTTTTCCATGTCTTGGCTACTGTAAATAATGAACAGAGGGTACATATATCTTTACAAAGAAGTGTTATCAGATATTTCAGGTAGATACTCAGAAGAGGGATTGCTAAGTCATATGGTAACTGTAGTCTTAATTCTTTAAGGAACCTGCATTTCTGTAGTGGCTGCACCAATTTACATTCCCACCCGGGTTCCCTTTTCTCGACATCCTCACGAACACTTGTTATTTCTTGTCTGATCATCGTCCTTTTTATTTCTTGCAGTTTTATGTGCTGAAAGAGTTGGCCAGATGACTAAGACATATAATGACATTGATGCTGTCACTCGGCTTCTTGAGGAGGTAAGTGTTTCGGGGGAAGGGAAAGGGTCGCTTAGAATTGACCGATTGTAATTGGTATTGATTAAAGCATGCGTTACTGTGAGTCTCAGGGAAGAACCTCAGAAATGGGGCCTTCTCAGGGGACTTAGTGGCTTTATTTTTTGTATCAATAGCTTTGTAGTTCTTTGTAGCGGTAAGCTTGTTTATGGTATTTATGGATAAGCATGGAAAGACTTGCTAGAATACCCAGTTTCAAGATTTTTAAAAACCCCTAAAACAGTGGTTGGCAAACTCATTAGTCAACAGAGCCAAAAAAACAACAGTACTTCTTCAAAATAGACTTGTCCAGGCCAAAAACCAACTTCTGCGCATGGGCCACGAAGTTTCAATCGCACTGTACGTGCACCCGCACGTGCTATTTTGTGGAAGCGCCCCACTCAAGGGGCCAAAAAGCTGCATGTGGCTCGTGAGCCGCAGTTTGCCGACCACGGCCCTAAAATATATTCCCACAATATATTTTCAGTGCATCCAAAGAATATCAGAAAAAAATATATCATTACCCATATCTTTGTAATGTATTCTTTCTTACTTACATCAGGTTAAGGGGATTTTATTATGTAGTGTCACGTGGAGACCACCAAAATAAGCACGGCAGGAAGAACTTAGGAAACTTGCGTAGGTTCCCGTGAGCTGCTGGCATGTTAGAGACACGGTCTTGTCGGTTTCTTCTCGGCATTCTGTTGGCTTTCGAGAATTGTGGAGCCATGAGGGACGCCTCTAGAAACAGATGAGTATAATGTGTGTATTCCCATGCCTAGAGCAGGCCAGAACATGGCAGGTTCTTAGGATGTATTTGCTGAATAAGTGCCAGTCTTTAAACATTATCATCCCAACCCCCAACCCCCAAATCAGGCCTTTAAGGCACTTGTAGATCCTTGTTTCTGCTCTGGAATCAAGAATGAGTTGGGGTCACGTGACCATTCATTAGCCCTTCTCCAGGAAAAGAATAGAAGGATGTGGGAGACACCGGAATCTTTGTTGGCATTTTCAACCACTAGCAGGACAAGGTTGAGACACAAGACCAAGTGGCAATAGTGAGAACGAGTTGGTGTTTTTTTTTTGGGGGGAGGGGGGGCATCTTTTTACCCCAGTTTTTGTCTCTCCTTTCCCGTGTTTTTCCCTTTTGCACATCAGCATCTCCTATCTGCTTTGAGGGTCTGAGATTGATTCCCTCTGGGTTCCTGGGGGCTCACCTGCCCTGCGACCCCTCCCCCCCATTTTCCTGAGGGCCACCCACTAACAGGCCCCGATGAGTGGAGTGGGGGCAGGAGCTGAGACCCGCTTGACCACCCGCACGGCAGAGAAGATACAAACTCAGCCCCAAATGAGTGATATTAGGTGTTTTGGCTGTGACAGGGCCGGTGGTGGAGCATGGTAGGGTACAGGCCTTCTGGGGTGCCCCAGTCACTGCCATCTTGGTGGCCGGCGTTGGCCAAGTGGGAGGCTAGCGTGGCACCACTACCGACTTTGGAAAATGGTGTGTTCCGGACGCCTCTCTGCTGTGTCCATTTCCCCAAGAATGCCAGCACCCTGGGATCCTCTCCAGGTCGGGGTGTTTCCAGCCACTGCTCCTCGCCCCATTCCCCGTCAGTTTCCAAGTCTGTTCAGTTAGGAACCTGCGTCTGAGGGTGCAGAGGTACCCTGGCTGGCACGGCTGCTTTCCCGCCCCGGCCCCTCCCTGCAGGGCGGGGAGGCGCGTGACTCTGTTGCTTTGGCCGTCAGGTTCAATGCTCTGCGGATTTAGTTTTGGGGAACACGGTTCGTTGAATGTCACTGGAACATTTTTACTTTAAAAACAGGAGCCGAGTAGTGTGTTTTAGGGGGTGTCCCCTGCCCGCATGCTTGGCTCTGGCGGAGTGTGAGCTGGCAGTGCTGGGGCCTCCATAGGCGACACGCGCTCCGCCCTGACCAGTGACCAGAGAGGATCTCTTCCCAGGGAGCCTGGGGCTCCAGCCCTTTATGCAGATGCTGGTTAAAAGTAGTTCACTTCCCCCAGCGAATTTCCTGACTGTGCCAGCGCATAAAGAGTAGCTGTTGCTTGTATGATAACCGAGGTACTGGAGAGGGTACCGTGGGGCCGTTTTCAGGTGGCTGTGTTGTGCCACGTTGGTTTACTAGTCACTGGCAGTGGCTCTTCGCCGCACGGAGGTGTGTAGCGGTGTGTTTGGTCTCTGCCGTTCTTCCCCTTGTCCTGATAAGAATCACACCTGAGTCGCTGCCTTTCTTTGGAAGAGGCGGGTTTCCTGGTGAACGCCTCACTGCCCCAGGCGTGTGACCTTGTACTGTGTGTGCTTGTCTTGGCTTTGGTTCCGTTCCCTCCCACCGTGATCGTTTGCTTTGGTTTGCACGCCTGCCTCATGCAGATGGGGTGCTGGGAGGTGGCGGGGGGTGAGGGGAGGGGAGGGCGCACAGGGCCCCAAAGCACGGCCAGTGTGGAGCGTTTGCGTCTGGGGGTGCGGGGACAGGATTCGCAGCTTGCCCTAGCTCGCTGCTGCTCGGAATTTACCTCTGGGCAAAGCTGTCACGCTTTTTATCCTAAAATTGGTGAATGGGATGAGTTAGCTGCCTGGTGTGGGGGGCAGGGTGCTCCCCAGCTCCAGGGTTGTGTTCATTGGTTAAAGGGGCTGAGACACAAGTCTCCGTGTGTTTTTAAACAAAGCCTATCTGGGAAGAGGGAGTGAACAGTGAGAATGAGTCCACCCAGCTACCTTTCCCGGCCACTAAAAGAACCCATTCTTTAATAGCCTATTTCCAAGGGCCTACGTTATTTAGTTGTAGTCTTGTCTTCTCGCCGTATTTGAATCCAGTGGTCATTTCCTAGCTGCTTCCCTGCATTCAGAAGTAAATGTTGTTGGCTGGTGGTAAGAAATGGGAGTTTTTTCGTTCTTATAATTTTCCAGGAGACACTCAGCCAGCCTGCCACCTTAGTAAAGAGAAGCCAGAGACACTACCTACAGGAACTTTTTTGTTGTTTTCATTTCATCGGTAACTATTTATACTAGAATGTCTTGCCCTTTTATTTTTCCCCCCGGCAGAGTTTTCTTTATGTTCCTATAAGGATTAGGTTTTTGGTGCAGAGGAGGTGAGAGCTCAGGTCAGGGGGGCAGGGCCGGGTGGGGACTGGGGTGCAACGAGGAGGGCGAGGGGCGTGGTTGTTGAGCTCCCGCCCACTCGCTCTTCTTCCCCTTCCTGTTTCCTGGTCCTCCTGGGCTCTGGCTTCCCCCTGCTCTCGCACTGCCTTCCCCAGCCGGTCTTCCTTGTTATCATTTCTGCTTGACTTGTTTGCCATGGAATGTGTGTACAGAATGTGGCTGAGGCTTAGCCAATGCCTGTGCTTGTTGGAACTCTGCAGCTCGGAGGTGTGGAGAAGGAACAAACTTCCCTCCACCCTCAGGGTTCCTCTGGCTGGCCTAGTAACCAAGTAGACGTGAGACCGATCAGCAAGAGAAAATAACCCAAGCAAATACCGACATATGTATGGGAACCCCACATACACGAGAGAGTCCAGGACCCCACCTGCAGGAGAGGATGGGAGACAGACAGGGACCATGGACATAGAAGACATCCTGAGCTAGGACGAGCCTGGGTGCTTCAAAGGGTCATTGTCAGATGAGAAGAAGAGCAGATGCTTAGTAAATAGAAGTTTGTCCTGCACTTAGTTATGTCAAAAGAGGTTACCTCTCATAATCTTTTACTGTGGGCAATGCCCCTAATGTAAGTTCTAGATAGTTAAGGGAGGGGCAGGAGTTGCTTTTAGCTCAAAACAATCTGCATACTGCAAAGGCACGTCTTGGGGTGACTCGTTCTGAACCCCTATGGTTGCATGATGGAGATGCAGAAGAGTGAGGCAGCGAGCCAATGGACATGAAGCCCCTGTTGGGTACAAGTCTGAGGACTTGCTCTAGTAGTGAAATTGAGTAGACCTGAGTGAACTTGGTGACCACACTTCTAAGGGACATGGACTTGGTGTTGCAGTTTTAGCTGAGTGTCCTCCGGCGGAAACCACTTGGACTACAGCCTCTAGACAGGTAGGTGTGCAAGTTCCCTCACACATCCCGTCGGGTCCTTTCCTCCAGGTGCCAAACAGGCACCACTGCTGAGTCTGAGAAGTGATCCAGGGCCATTGAGCGAGGACTCTCCTTGGAAGACACTGTAGCTGGCGTGGATGCCTACACAGAGATGAGCATCTCTGCTGAGTAGGCAGACTCCCTGGCCACCTTTGTCCCATGGGAGGGAGTGCTGGGGAGACACAAATTGTGGGAATGAGCTGGGGTATTTACGGCTCACTTCACATGACACCCGGCTGGCTACTGGGACAGTAGAGACAGCAGTTACGGGCCTTAGCACTGTTTAAGACCTGGGGCGGGGGGGGGGAGGGGGGGGCAGGGTCAAATCCCTGTCAATCCAGAATCTTCCCAAATTACACTCTGACCTCCAGTCATTCAGTGGAACGCCTGTGATAAGCTAAGGGAAGGCGTGCTGCTGTTGCACGGAGGAGTTCGGTGGATGTGTAAGAAGTTAGAAATGAAAGCTATTGATTTTTATTTATTTACTAGAGGCCCGGTGCACAGATTCGTGTACCAGTGGAGCCCTTGGCCTGGTCTGCAGGGATCGGAATCGGGCTGAAACCGGCAGTCCAACATCCCCCAAGGGGTCCCGGATTGCGAGAGGGCGCAGGCCAGGCCAAGGGATCCCACTGGTACATGAATCCGTGCACCGGGCCTCTAGTATTCATATAAGATTTTTGGTTACTCTCTTCCCACCCTCCACTCTACCCTCTTCCCCCCTTTCCTCTGAGATTCATCAGTCTGTTCATGTTTCCATGCCTGTGGTTTCCACTCCTGCGTTGAGCATCTGCCCCCTGGTGGTCAGTGTGCATCATAGCTACCGGCCAGTCAGCCGGTTGCTTAGGCTTTTATATATATAGATTTTTTTTAATGATACAAGTCAATGAATCATTAAGCTGGAAGATTTTTTTCAAGGGTATTTCAGCTAGTCTGCCCCTCTGCCCTCCTCCATCTGACAGACAACCGGGCCCAGGGATGTTCCATCAGAACCCGAACTCTCACAGTTTCAGAGTTGAACAGTTCACCTGCAACAGGTAAACTTTGGACCTGTACCCGCTGTAAGAAATGCATCTTAGGTTGTGGCCCAGGACTCACATAAGTAAATACATGACAAGCAAAAGCTTATGTGTGAAATCGTACCCTTATTACGTGGAAGGCACTTTGGTATTTCATTTCTGTGCTGTTGAATTTCTTTAAACCGAATTGTCGGCTGCCACTACTACAATGACTCTCAACCTGCTCAAGGGTTATTGCCTGAATTTGGAGAAAGCTAACCTGGAGTGTGCCTGATCCTCACGGAGCGGGGACATTGACCTAAGGCCGCGTAGTTAATTAATAGCCAATCAGAAGCTACGACTGACTCCTGTCCAGCTTTTTTTTTTCCTGATCTTAACTACATGAACCTAAAAATAAAAGGCTTTTCAAAGTGAGAGGCAACAAGCATTTATTTGAGATTTAAAAAAACAAACAAAGAAGAATAGCTATTCGGGAAGCACTGATTTAGGCAGAAACCCAAATAATGTTCCAGTTTAGGGGTAGTTATGAGAAATGGGGACAGTTCCATCAGTAGAAGGAAGACACTCTTATTGGTGCAGAAAAGCTCACATGGGGATGTTTATTCTAAAGAAGGGTTTGCGTTTCCAGTCCAGTCGTCCGTCAGTCCTGTTGTCATAATATCTGCTTGCTTGTTATCCTGTAAACAGTTCTTTGGGACACAAGGTTACCTAGGCTCGTTCTAAAGGGGATTGTGCCCTGTTTGAACATCTCAGAGGTTTGAGGCATGAGACGTGCAAGGCAGTGCCCGTGGGGTGGCAGCTCTGGCTCCCTTTTCTTTTTCTTTTTTATTTTTTTTAAATATATTTTATTGGTTTTTCACAGAGAGGAAGGGAGAGAGATAGAGAGTCAGAAACATCAATGAGAGAGAAACATCGGTCAGATGCCTCCTGCACACCCCCCACTGGGGGTGTGCCCGCAACCAAGGTCCATGCCCTTGACCGGAATTGAACCCGGGACCTTTCAGTCCGCAGGCCGTTGCTCTATCCACTGAGCCAAACCGGCTAGGGCTCCGGCTCCCTTTTAGAGTGGCTCCGTTTCCGTTGTGTTTCTTAACAACTACATGCTCCCATTCCTCTGCTCTTCACGCCAGGTGAACAGAATAATTAGCACTTCTGAAATCATTTAGTTCCCAGAGGTCTCCTCCCCTTGCCAACTGCCACCTAAACGTGAGCAAGTTGAGTCTGACCCCGTGGCCAACAGCCCCTCCGGCGGGCTCAGGGAGTCTGCTTCTGGCGACGGCGGCCGCCCACCGTCTCCACTGTCGGGACCCTTGACAGGCCCCGCGAGGTTTTCCTGGGCGTCCTGCTCTGAGAGATGTCACCAGCTGAACCAACAGACACTTCTGTGTCAGGGACACACCTCTGACTCTGAAGTAGGGCAACTTTTATGCCTTGTTGCTCCATTTGGAAAGTATTTTAGAAAAATAAAGCCTCGCCCGGCCAGCGTGGCTCAGTGGTGGTCGAGCATCGACCTGTGATTCAGGAAGTCATGGTTCAATACTCCGGTTTCCGGCTCCATCCCCAGTAGATGTGCAGGAGGCAGCCGATCAATGATTGTCTCTCATTGTTGATATTTCTCTCTCTCTCTCTCCCTCTCCCTCTCCCTTCCTCTCTGAAATTATATATATTTAAAAATAAATAAGTAAAACAAAGCCTAAGTAGATTCCCATTAAGTAAAAGAAGCATGTTGCTGCATTTCAGAGTATCCGGAAACATTTTTGTTTCACAGGAGGCAAGTACAAGGAACCGGGTCAATTCCAGCTTAACATGTGCCGAAGAGGCTGCCTCCCTGCTTCTATACTTGGCTCTCTCACAGAAACACTTTGGAATTTCTGGGGCCATTCATTCATCCAGCAGCTGGCCACTGGGTATTTCCATGTGCTGGTACCTGGCAATACAGGTAGCCCAGCCGCTAGGCCTCCCGGAGAGATGGCTATCAGGTGACTACACGAATACCAAAAGCAGCTGCAGAGAAACGTTCTGGAAGCAGGTTTTTCCTGCTGGAACAGAGACTCGTTTTCATCAGATGTCAAGGTTTCCTTCCAGGGCCGGGGTCTGCGTAGCTCCTGCAGGTTACACACCTCTTTGAATGGGTGTCCGGTGCTGGTGAATGGATGGTGAATTATTAATCCCTTTGTCATTTCTAACTGCCCTTGTTTTCCTCCATGGGCTCCTTCAGGACGCCTGAGTTTTTTGTTTGTTTGTTTGTTTGTTTGTTTGTTTTTGTTTGTTTTTTTTAGGACGCCTGCGTTTTTTTAAAAATCTCTGCTCTCCCTCTGCAGAAAGAGCGGGATTTAGAATTGGCTGCTCGGATTGGCCAGTCGTTGTTAAAGAAGAACAAGACCCTCACCGAGAGGAACGAGCTGCTGGAGGAGCAGGTGGAGCACATCCGGGAGGAGGTGAGGAGCCGGCGCGGCGGGGCCACAGGCGCGGTCCAGGGTGATGGAAAGGGTCCCATTCGGAGAGGCCCCCGAGGGCTCGCCCAAGCCCTGAGCCCAGAGCCGCCTGCTCTCGCGTGGCCACCTGGACACAGAACGCTGCCTTCCTGCAGCTCCCGTTCACTGTGTCTCCTGCCCACAGTGGGGCCCCGTCTCCCATCTGGTAAGATGACCCATGTCTCTGGGCATTTGCCCAGCTAACTGACTTGCTAAGCTATCTTGTGCCCCCAGACATCATTCTAGAACTTCTAGTCCCTTCTCACCTCTTCTCCATACCAAAGTAAAAATTGTAAATTGAGGCAGAGGGATTTTTTGGCCAAAGAGTAACTCATTGTATTTTTCTCAAAGAGGATGAAACGTAACTGTTTGTTTTCTTTGAATAGAACAAAAATCATTTACAGGCCTTCACTTTTAAGGAGGATCAGTGTATTTTTTTTATTGATTTCAGAGAGGAAGGGAGAGGGAGAGAGAGATTGAAATATCAATGATGAGGGAGAATCATTGATGGGCTGCCTCTGGCACACCCCCTACTGAAGATCGAGCCTGCAACCCGGGCATGTGCCCTGACCTGGAATCAAACCATGACCTTCTGGTTCAGGCCGATGCTCAACCACTGAGCCACACTGGCCGGGCTAAGGAGGAATTTTTAAAACGCTGTCACTGAGCAGCAGGTGTTTGAGCACGAGTGGGGGCGTGGGCCTGTGTGGGGTGTGAACGACAGGCCCGGCTGTTTGTGCAGGTGTCTCAGCTCCGGCATGAGCTGTCCATGAAGGATGAGCTACTCCAGTTCTACACCAGCGCCGCGGAGGAGAGCGAGCCCGAGTCTGTGTGCTCAACCCCGTAAGTCCCTGGGTCCGGGGTCACAGCACAGGCTGGCTGCCGTCCATGTCCGTGGAGCTGCCTGGGCAGGGTTGGTCACCTTCTCCAGCAACGCAGGTCAGCCACTCCGGCCTCCTCCGGCCAGGCACCTCCCAGTGCCTGGCACAGACCGTGTCACCGTTTCAGTGGGACGTGGAAGGACAGGTTTTTTGTTTTCCTCTGACTGGGGCTTCTTGTTCATTTGTCAGTTCAGACTGACAGGGCCTGGCATGTTGGTAGGTGACAGGGTGGGCTCTGGAGATGGGGTTCTGAAGCCTGAGGTGCTGTGGGGGGACCTGGGGAACAGGAGGTGTGGGGGCTTCTCTGAGAGTCTGCAGAGCCTCATGTTAGCGGCATGAACTCAAAAGCCGGATGGTCTGAGCTCAGTTCTCGACGCTGTGGCTTCTTAGCTGTGTGTTCTTGGCTAAGTTACTTAACCTCTCTGTGCTTGTTTCCTTATTTTAAAATGGGGATAATAAGAATAGCACTTAGTTCATAGGGTTATGCGCATTAAATGAGTTAATACCTGTATTTGAAACAGCAGTTGGCACCCAGAAGCGCATTATACATATTAAACTCCCAGGCATTCAGAATTGTGTGGGCTTCAGATAGAGCCGGTTTCCCTGAATTCTGAGACAACGTGACAACTGTGAATTGTGGACAAGGGTTGGGTTGTAAGTCTGAAGTGGGAGCGAGCCTGTGTGTCCTGGGGGTGCGGGAGCAGCCGGATGGGCCACTGTCACGCCTGCGCGTGTCCCGACGCCCCTGCACCAGGCGGCGGGGGGAGTGTGTCTCTCCCTAGAACGCGATCTTACCTTCTCCCCAGGTTGAAGAGGAATGAGTCATCGTCCTCAGTCCAGAATTACTTCCATCTGGATTCGCTTCAGAAGAAGCTGAAGGACCTGGAAGAGGAGAACGTTGTACTTCGATCCGAGGTGGCGTCCGCACCCCGCTCTTGTCCGCTCTGGGGGGTGGCGGCCCTGTTCCCCTTATCGGCCCTTCTCAAAGGTTCTCTGTCAGAACCACCTGAACCTTGGCTCATTCCTGTGCTGGGAGTTGCCTCCCAGGGCTGGGGCGGACCCGCTGGTGAATTATGCAGCGTGTGGAGGGGCAAGGGTGGGTGGCAACCCGTCCCCCTTTGCAGGGTAGAAGGGGACCTTTCCAGGGTGTTCTCCAGCTCTACGGGCATGACGTGGAGGCCCAGTGTGAAGGCCCCGTTTTCCTGTCCCCCCAGGTGACACCAAACAGTACCCGAGGAAATAGTGCCTGAGAACTCGGAGACACATTTCGTAGTTGAGACTGAGCAGAGACACCCTGGGAACTCCTGCTTCTGAGGGTCCCTAATTGGCTGGGTTTTGTGCTCGGTACTTTGCCTGCATTATTTTTTACTTTATTTATTTATTTTTAAAAATATTTTTAATTGATTTTTTTTAGGCAGAGAGGAAGGGAGAGGGAGAGAGAGAAACATCGATGTGAGAGCGAAACATTGATTGGCTGCCTCCTGCACACCCCCTGCCAGGGATCGAGCCCAAAACCCCCTGGGCATGTGCCCTGTTCGGGAATGGGACTGGCAACCGTTCCGGGCACGAGACAGTGCCCAGCCAGCGGAACCACGCTGGCCAGAGCTGCCTTGCTTTTTAAAATCTCCACAGCAAGGCTGGGAGCTGGTGACTTTGCGTCTCATTTCCGTTGGGAAGGCAGGACCCCGGCTGCCGGGAGTTTTGATTTCCCAAGGCCATGCATGTCAGTGGATGACGGAGTCCAGATCTGCAAGTCTCCATGACTCCAGACCCCACACTGCTTCCCCTCACCCCCCCGTCTCTATCTAGAAACGCTGCAAATTCAGTACTTTTTGTCCTAAGTATCAGTGTGTCTTTGCTCTCTAGCCAGAGGGGTGGTGCAGCCTGTTCATCAGGCCCTTGTTTGCCAAGTTGGGGCTGATTCCCACCTGCGCTGGCTCAGCCCTCTCCCCACCCCACCCCCAAAGCTCATCCAATCGGGCAGACCACCCGTCACCTTGAACTTGCCCACACGTTGGAAACAACCTCACGTCTGGGCTGAACGGGACACTGAGGCATGAGGAAAGGGTCACGCTGTCTCAGAAGTCACCTCTTCCAGCCCCTCGTTTACTGAGCGGTTGTCTTAACTCCCTGCCAGCCAGTGGCCCAACCAAGACTCACCCAGTGCTCCCCATTCTGAGTCTGGTGCTGCCCCTCCCAGTGTCGTCTGCCCCAGGTAGACACTCTAGTCCTGGGCACACAGCAATGGCCCCTCCGTCAGAGTCTTCACCTAAAGCAGTGGTTCTCAACCTTCTGGCCTTTAAATACAGTTCCTCATTATTTTCGTTGCTACTTCATAACTGTAATGTTGCTACTGTTATGAATCGTAATGTAAAGACCTGATATGCAGGATGGTCTTAGGCGACCCCTGTGAAAGGGTCCTTCGACCGCCAAAGGGGTTGCGACCCACAGGTTGAGAACCGCTGACCTAAAGCAACCAGGGAACCTGATCCCAGCCAGAGTCCGCTGCGCCCCCCTCAGCTTTCAGGAGGGTGGTGTCTCTGTGGGGCCAGGACCTTCTGTCTAACTGGGGTGTTCAGATCTCTAGCCTCCCACCTTGTTAGCCTGGAGCAAGCTACACAGAGTCCTGGGATAGCTCCTGGGCCTCTGAATTTTACTGCTTTCATCTTGTACCTTGTTTTTGCTCAGCGGAATGCAAGAGATTTAACTCCAACTTAGTAGAACCTCATAGGACAGTGCCCAGCACATAGTAGGTGAATGTGTAGGCCATTCTCCTTGTGGCTAGCCTTAGAACACCCGTGGTAGGCAGAGCTGTGTCCTAGGTACTTTTTGAGTCACAAAGGGGTTCAGGCTGTGAGCCAGGACAGACACAAATGAATAGACAGACAGACTGGACACAAGGATGGCTCGTAGAGTTTTGGTGAAGCGGGGTGTACAGCTCCTGTGCGCATGGCTTTGAGGGGCGCCCTCTAGTGGTACGTTTTCCAGCTTTGAGAATCTGAGGTGCACTCACTAAGGAGGGGATGCAGGTGGACTTTCTGTACTTGAGGGTGCAGCAGGTGACAGGTAGGGAAATGCCGAAGGGTGACTTCCCAGACGCAGGTGACCCCTTGCTCCATGGCCCAGCCTCACCTGCCCCAGCAGTGCAGGTGTGAAGACGGGGCCTCTCACCTGGGCCTTGTCCACACACAGGCCTGCCAGCTGAAGACGGAGACCATCACCTACGAAGAGAAGGAGCAGCAACTGGTCAACGACTGTGTGAAGGAGCTGAGTATGTCCCTGGCCCTCGCCCCACTCCTGTTCCCTCTTTTTCTGCACCTGCCCGCGTTATGAGCACACAGGTTCACATCCCCTGACCAAGTCCAGTCTCCCTGCCAGCTGGGGCTCAGTAGTGTTTTCCTTAAAACTAGAGGTGCCCCAGATCTTCTGTGGCACCCTCAGAAGTCAGCCTATTTGTGAGAAATTGGGGGGCTAGGTTCTCAGTCATACGTTGTCTTAATTTCTCTCTGGTATTTAATTTTAATTTTGGTTTCTACTGGAATGTTGGAATTATTTTTAAAAAAATATTTTTATTGATTTCAGAGAGGAAGGGAGAAGGGGAGAGAGAGAAACATCAATGATGAGAGAGAATCATTGATGGGTTGCCTCCTGCACACCCCCTCCTGGGGATCGAGCCTACAACCTGGGCATGTGCCCTTGACTGGAATCCAGCCCAGGACCCTTCGGTCCGCAGGCCGATGATCTGTCTACTGAGCCAAACCAGCTAAGGCGAATGTTAGAATTACTGAGTTAGGTATAGCTTCAGAGTCCTGTGTTGGAGATATGGAAAAACTGCTTTCTAGCCATCTGACTTGTGTAAGTTGAGGTGAGAGTTTTTTTTCACCCTCTCCATTATAAGTTAAGGTGAGACAAAGCGGTAAACAGACTATTTTGAGTTTCGGCAACATACCAAGTGAATGAAACACACCCTCTGTTCAAACCGAGTAAAATGAGTTATGGCTCTGATTGTGGGTGGAGAACACCCGAGGGGTTGCCTTGGGCACGGCCGTATTTCCTTTCCAGAGCAGGGTCGATAGGAGTTCCTGGGAATATAGGGGCTTGTTCACGGGTGGAGAGTGGGTTTTGGCCAGACACACCTTCGTACGGGTGTGGCACCTCCTGGCTGGCTCCAGGAGCCACCTGATTTCCTCTGGGGAGGCAGCCTCGGTCAGCGGGTTAGGCCCTCACGGTGAGCCCGGGAGCCACAGCTGGGAGCCAGGTTCCCCCTCATGGCGGAAGGAGCCAGGGGGAGCCGCTCTGCTCTGCTTCACCATCGAGCAAAACAGGCAGCACTCTCAGTCCCTTCTTCATATGCCCTCTTTGCTCCCCACCTCCCCCACCCCACCCCCATCTCAGAATAGAGGGGCTTTCCCTTGTACAAGCCACAAAGCAACCATTCTCTCTCAGTCTGCTCGGGGGGTTTTCTGACTTCGCCTTGTGCTGGTTGTTTCTGGGTCGAAGGGGACGCCAACGTGCAGATCGCCAGCATCTCGGAGGAATTGGCCAAGAAGACGGAAGACGCTGCCCGCCAGCAGGAGGAGATCACGCACCTGCTGTCTCAGATCGTGGACCTGCAGAAGAAGGCCAAAGCGGTAAGCCACCGTTCGCTGGCCGACACCGGAGGGTGGGGCGCTCTGGGGTCGAGAGGGGCGGCTGACCCGGGAGGCAGTGCCCTTCCTTTCATATCTTAGGAGTGGCTGCCTTTTGGAGAAAGAGCTTAGCGCATCGGTTCTCAACCTGTGGGTCGCGACCCCTTTGGGGGTCGAACGACCCTTTCACAGGGGTCGCTGAAGACCATCGGAAAACACATATATAATTACATATTGTTTACAGTAGCAACATTACAGTTATGAAGTAGCAACAAAAATAATTTTACGGTTGGGGGTCACCACAACATGAGGAACTGTATTAAAGGGTCGCGGCATTAGGAAGGTTGAGAACCACTGGCTTAGTGGCTTCAGTAGCATACTCCTCATCACCACTTTCCTCCTCGGAATATCTTCAGATTGATAGGATCCACCACGAAAGCTGCCGTAGATACGGCGTTTGGGAATCGAATCATCTAGTCTCGTAGTTGTGGTTACACCCGCACCTGTGTGCTCTCCAGCAGCCGGTGTCCCCTTTAGCTTGGAGATGAAGCAGCCAGAAGACAGTCTGGTTTCCCGTGTTTGGCCTTTGCTGGACGCGTGGGGTGAAGCGCTTCCAGAGAACAGCTGTCTGTGGGGGAGGGGTGGGGAGGGGCAGGAGTGGGGTGGGCCACAGAGAATGAGCATGAATGTAGGAAAGACGGCCTTCAAGATGATAACAGACGGCATGTCCTCGGTGTAAGATGAGGGTGCCTGTGGGAGGGCCCAGGGTCCCAACGGAGCGGGTTGCTGGGGGAGTGGGGCGTTTCTGAGCCGCCTGCGGGAGCAGCCTGCGGGACAGGAGGAGCTGACCGCCTGTGCGTTTCAGTGCGCGGTGGAAAATGAAGAACTTGTGCAGCACCTGGGGGCCGCCAAGGATGCCCAGCGGCAGCTCACGGCCGAGGTAAGCGGCTCCCCCTCATTTCATCGGGGCCCCCGATGCTAGGTCGGGGGCAACAGCCTCTCTCCCTGATGGGCCGGGGGTTGTGTTCCCCTCAACAACGATTTTTATATTGAATGGAAGGTTGTTTTGACTCCTAAGCTGATTCCCACTGAGGCACTTACCGGTTGCGAGCGTCTGCGAGGCTGGGCTCTATACCTGCTCGCTAAACAGTCCAGTAAGAGACGACAGCACCCCCGTGAAGGGAGCCCATTCAAAGGCACCCTTGAGACTGGGGTGTCTCGATGAGCTCTCCCGTTCGGATGTGGATGTTGCTCATCTCAGTTGCCCCTGGTTAGAGGTTTGGGAGATTTCGGAGTTGGAAAGCGTGCTCCCCGTGCGGACTCGGCGTTTGGCTTCAGGGGCCTCCCCGAGTGCACGTGTCTGGCTGGCTGTGCGGGTGGGCGGGCAGGTGCCCGGTGCTCACCAGCTGCCTCCCTGGGCCCCTGCAGCTGCGGGAACTGGAGGACAAGTACGCCGAGTGCATGGAGATGCTCCACGAGGCGCAGGAGGAGCTCAAGAACCTCCGGAACAAGACGGTGCCCAACACCACGTCCCGGCGCTACCACTCGCTGGGCCTGTTCCCCATGGTACGTGCCGCTGCTGCTGCTACGCGGGACACCCCAGGCCCACCCAGAGGCGGGCGGGGGTGGAGCCTGGGGGGGCGGCCTCTCGTTTTGCAGCGTGGATCGGGTTCGAGCTGCGGGCTCCTGAGCCCAGCCGGCGGCCTCTTAGCTACGTGAGACAGACGGGTTCTTCACTTTCCATCCCTCTCACACTCATCTTTTCTCCGCCTGCTTTGACGAGAGAGGTTTTAGTAGGAACTAGATGGAGGAGGAACCTCAGCTGTTGGGAAGGTGTTATTTATCCATGGTTTTTTCGGATCTGATGGAGGGTATGGGCTACTTCAGCTGCGCCAGTACATCCCAGAATTCCCGAGTGGCCCGTGTGGTGCTGCTGGCTCTCTGTCGGCTGGTTAATCCTTATGCTGGTGGCATCAGTATCTGTGATCTAAAAAGATCTTTCTCTCTGTTCCGGGGTTGGCGGGGTGGTTAATTGTCCATATTTCCCCGCCGTCTCATTGTTCAGCCCTGGCCTGACTTGTTCGCTGTTGGGCTGTAGGGAGCAGGGCTGAGAAGGGGCTTGGCAGGAGGTCAGCTCTCTCCCTCTGGTGCTTGGGCAGTCGCCCTGGCTGGTCACGTCCCTGTGACACGGGGTGAGCGCCCTCATTCTGTCCTCTCTCCGCCGCGGCCCTGGGAGGGGAGCACCTTGTCTCTTTGCCGTTTCCCTCCTCCCCTCTCTCTACCACCCTGCACCTAGAGCTGCAGGTGCTTAATAGATTTGGGTGGTGGGCAGACAGACTGGAGAACAGCGACCCAGAACGTTTGTATTTGGGCTCCGTTTCCGTGGTTTGATGAAATACTGGATTCCGAGGAGAGAACGTTGGAGAGAAACTGCCCTGAACGTGGTGGGAGTGGACGGCCGTGGAAGTGTTTGTGGAACTCGGTCCCTTCCGAATTTTCCTTGGGGCTCTTTCCCTTCGCCCACCCCTTGTTGTCTGGTCCACTCTTCCTAAATCAGGGCGGGGAACCTTTTTCCTGCCAAGGGCCACTTGGATATTTATAACTCATTCGCTTAATATCATTCACTTAATATAAACTTATGTTGCTATGGAAAAAAAAAGCTCCTAAATTTATTGAATTTCAAGTCCTGCTTGCAGTTGCCTGGGCAGGGCCAGACCAAATGATTTCGAGGGCCTTCTACGGCCCGCAGGCCGGACGTTCCCCATCCCTGTCCGAGATCATGACCTCTTTTTCCTTGTTGCTCTCATACATCCAAGTCAGGCCAGAGCTCTTTCTCTTCTTCTCTCGACCTGATTGAAATCTACTGCGACCAAAAAGGCACACAACGTCGTCAGCTCCCCAAGGAGCAGGCCGGCGATCTAGGATTCCAGGGATCCCCGTGAAGAGTGTTCTGTCCCCCAGTTCCTCGACTAGAGCTGACCACACCGGCTCCCAGACTCACCTGTGTAGCTTTTCACACTTCTCGCCTCGGTTTCCCTCCTTCCTGGCTTCTCACCGGGATGCAGTGGTCTCCAGGCCCCAGGACTCTCCCCATTGCATTTCCCACCCTCCGGGACAGACCTGTGTTTTTTCAGATTGAAACCATTGCCTGAGGAAAGTGGGGTTGGAAATCTGCGGGCGGGTTTCCTCTGCAGAGAGTCTCAGCCTTCCTGTTCGCTGAGATGAAGCTTTTGTTTGTCTCTTTCTGTAGCTGATGGCACAGCTCTGTGTTTGAAGATGTCTATCTTTAAAGTGCATGATGCATTAAAGGTACTTAAATCAATCTAACGTCAATCCATTGGAGTTAAATGCAATCAAGAATTCAGTTCCTCAGGCACAGGGGCCCCATTTCCAGGGCTCAGCAGCCCCGGGTGGCTGGTGGCCCCTCACTGGACAGAAAGGGAGCATTCCTGGCGTCACGGGGATGCTGGTGGTCAGCGCGGCTTTAGCCCTTACGTTAACCGCCTCTGAGGCCTTTGCAGGTGCTTTTCTGCCCGCACCTGGTTCTGTGGGTGTCTCCCTATATCCGTGTGTGGGATTGTCCGTAGGGCTCTACCTCACAGAGTGAGAAGTGGTGGGCGGCTCAGAACCTGTGTGAGCTGAGCAGTTAGCAGCCCCCAGACGGGGAGGACAATAGCTTAGTGCAGCCCCTGTGGGCATGACCTCACCTGACTGCTCAGAAGCGTGGCGGTCCATGGGAACTTGCCCATCAGTGTCATTCGGAACAGGCCTCTCTCCCTCCCTAAGTTCCCTGCCTCTCCTGTGGCCACAGTTGGGGTTCCGTGGTTTGGCCAAGGGAGCGTAGGATTTGCTTTCAGACCCTCAGCCGCATGGAAGCAAAGGGGCTTTAGTACACTCGGTGCCGTTCGGTGCCTGCCGTGTTCAGAACCTGCCTGGGGATGGCTCAGCCGGGGCCTCTGACCGTGGCAAATGCTCTCAACCTTGCATTGTGGGATGTTTGTGGGCTCTGAGGCCTCAGTTTACCCTTCTGTGGCCAGCCCGAGCACGAGCCTCTTTCAGAGATAGAGCATTGGAGTTGCAGCTCACACGGGTGTCTTCTGGCTTTTCCCAGGACTCCCTGGCAGCCGAGATCGAGGGGACGATGCGGAAGGAGCTACAGTTGGAAGAGCCCGAGTCACCAGACATCGCGTAAGGCTTACTTCTGAGCTTCCCGAAGGGACCACCTGGCGCCCGGTGGTCGTCAAAATGAGCAGTGTTTGGGCCTCAGACACCAACAGTGATCACTGTGGTCCCTCCACAGACTAAGGGCAATGAGAGGACACAGCTGACATCACCCCCAGCTCCTCTGGTGACGTGTTAAAGATAGATTATGAACTTCCAGGAGGTTGGGACCGGAGAGATGTATTTAACATTTCTTTTTTTTAATTTTTTTTTTAATATATTTTATTGATTTTTTTACAGAGAGGAAGGGAGAGGGATAGAGAGTTAGAAACATCAATGAGAGAGAAACATCGATCAGCTGCCTCCTGCACACCCCCCACTGGGGACGTGCCCGCAACCAAGGTACATGCCCTTGACCAGAATTGAACCTGGGAACCTTCAGTCCGCAGGCTGGTGCTCTATCCACTGAGCCAAACCGGTTAGGGCTGTATTTAACATTTCCACACAAGTGCCGTCTTGACGCCTCCACTCATTTTCATCTTCCCTCTCAGTGAAAACCATTATTTAAAAAATGTTAACATCTTTTAGGAAGAGGAAAAGTAGGATGTGAGACACACCTACAGGGGTGTGAGCAAGGCGTCCACTCCCTTCTGGATCCGTTTAGGGATGTTGGCCTCCGCCATCTCTCTCCCTAACTCATGACCTTGTGCTGAGGTGCGAGGAGGAACCCCATGGGTCCGATTTCATCATGTTTTCTCTGTACCGAAACCCCGGAGGCAGAACCGAAGAGGGATGGATCCTGAGCGTGGCTAGTATCCAGAGCCTCGGCCCCATCCCAGAAAGATGAGTCCGTTATGGAAACGTGCCCTTTTCTCCTTAAAAGGGAACAAATGAGCATCAAAATGCGTGGCTCTGCTCTTAGAAATAGCGGTTTCTAAAAACAGACTAATCTGATGTTCATCATCTCAGAAGTTTGACTAACTTGAAGTCTTGCTATTTTTATACAGTCATGTGCCACCTAATAATGACTTTCAGTCCGTGACGGACCACACATACGACGGGGGTCCCGTACGCTTAAAAAGGAGCTGAAAACTCCTACCACCTAGTGACATCAGAGCTGTCAAAACGTCACAACACAACGCGTCACGATCGTGGCGGTGCTGGGGTAAACAGACCTACGGCACTGCCACTCGTATAAAAGCATCACATACAGTTATGCACAGTATTTAATGCTGGACAATGACAATAGAGGACTTGGTTCCTGGTTTATGTATTTATTATACTTTTTATCATTTTTAGAGGGTACTCCCTCTACTCAAAAAAGTAAGTTTGCTGCTAAACAGTGTGCCGTGTGACGCCGGCAGCAGCCGCACATACCCCCGTTTCACCTCATCTCTTGATTGCATTGTTCGCTTGTGTTTGCTTTAATCTCCTGTGGTTTTGCACAGCAACAGGTGGAACAGGTTTGCAGCCTAGGAGCAATAGGCTCCGCCACCTAGGTGTGTAAGTGCACGCCGAGATGTTCGCGCAGTGACCAGATTGCGTAACGAAGCATCTCTCAAACTGTGGCCCTGTCATTGAGCGGCACGTGACTGTGTGTGAATAGTCAGGACGTGCTCCTTCTACAGATACTTGCTGAGCCCTGTTAGGTGCAGAGCAGTACACACTGCCTCCTGGGGTTTGCCTTCGGGCGACGCTCATGAAGGAAGAGAACTAGCCGGGAAACAGCACGACTTGAGTATTTTTATTTGGAGGCCAAGCTGGAGGCGGGTGGGAAGCAGTATCGCTCCTGCTAGCATCGCTGTTAGGACACAAGCATGTGTGAGAGCCCTGACGTCAGTGGGTGGTGAGTCTCCTGCACTCCAGCCAGCACCCTGAGAAACACGTGGAAGGCCCAGGAGGGCAGATTGTTGGGTGCTCATGTGGGCCAGCTACCTTCCTGGCTTCCCTGTTGATCCTTTCCGGAGGGTTTAACTCCAGGGTCGTTCCTACACTTGCTCACTCACGGGTGATGTTGTGCATCCTCCCCAGTCACCAGAAGCGAGTCTTCGAGACCGTGAGGAACATCAACCAGGTGGTCAAGCAGAGGTCCCTGACGCCCTCCCCCATGAACATCCCCGGCTCCAACCAGTCCTCGGCCATGAACTCCCTCCTGTCCAGCTGCGTCAGCACCCCCCGGTCCAGCTTCTACGGCAGCGACGTCGGCAACGTCGTCCTGGACAACAAGACCAACAGCATCATCCTGGAGGCAGAGGCGGCCAACCTGGGGTGAGCGGCGGGCGTTGGTGCTTTTGTGTGTGGGAGACGGATGGGTGTGGAGTGAACGCAGGGTCAGTCCTCAGAGGAGGGAGACCGATAGGAATCGCCTGGAAGATACAGACCCTTCAGTTGTCAGATGCGTTTCACCGGCCCGCTGGGCCCAGGCTTAGCCTTGACGCCGATCCTTTCACCGGTCTAAGGGGTATGACAGGACGGGGCGGGAAGTCTGCCGCTCTGTGAAGTGCCGAGGGGCGGGATACGTGAACGTGTGTTTCTGTTCATCTTCACGGTGAAGGCTACAGCGCAGACATTGGTTTCACGGACCCTTTGGTGGCTGGGATGTTCGGAAGGTTGAGGAGCACCCAGGCTCTACCTCATGAATCTGGTTTGCTTCGGAAGGTGGGGTGCGGGGCGCCCCACAAGTGCCCGCCACACCGAGTGTCCCTGGGTGGCCCTTCCTCCACAGGGGTCACTCCTCTCCAGCCTGAAGCCCTTCAGACCCCCCCCCCCCCAACACACACACACTGTCTACTGCGTGCACACGACTCATGTGACTGCATAACATTGTTTTTTCTGACCAGTTGGGTCAGACCGTTGGGTAACTGCTTGGTCAGAACAGCTTGGAGCTTTCGGCTCCTTAAATTCAAGTAGAAAGAGGGGAGTCCCTTGAGCCTGCGGCCCTTCCTCTAACTAGGAGCCGCAGCTGAAGAAGGCTTCTTCCCCAGGGAGGTGTTGAAAGGACTGGATTTTACGTCGTGTATGCAAGTTTTCATTCTGCCTGAGTGCCTTCTTCCTCTGTTTCCCCTTACCCCCACCCCCACCCCCCAAAAAACCAATAGAGGGAATTAGTTCTTCAGGTTAAGCATTGTTTCTCTTTTTTTGGGTTAATCCTCACCAGAGGATCTTTTTTCCATTGCCAGAGAGTGGAAGGGAGGGAGAGGGGGGAGAGAGAGAAACATCTGTGTGAGAGAGAGACACTGATTGGTTGCCTCCAGCCCGGTAGGGGCTGGGGAACGAGGTACGTGCAATCCAGGTACGTGCCCTTGACTGGGAATCGAACCCAAGATCCTTCCATTCCCAGGCCGACGACGCTCTAACCACCGAGCACACCAGCCAGGGCTGTTTCCCCATTTTTGCCTACATCTCAACAGCCGGCTGTGGTTTCCTTAGAATACCCACAGCCACCCTTGCACATGCAGCAGGAAGGCCTCGTTGTGTGTGGTGCAGCGCCCCTGCTGGGCGTGCCATGCTCACCCGTCTCCCCCTCCTTCCAGAAACAACGAGCAGAGTAAGAAGCCGGGGACACCGGGCACCCCAGGCTCCCACGACCTGGAGACGGCGCTGAGGCGGCTGTCCCTCCGCCGGGAAAACTACCTGTCGGAGAGGAGGTTCTTCGAGGAGGAGCAGGAGCGGAAGCTGAGGGAGCTGGCGGAGAAGGGCGAGCTGCTCAGCGGCTCCCTCACGCCCACCGAGAGCATCATGTCCCTGGGCACGCACTCCCGCTTCTCTGAGTTCACCGGCTTCTCGGGCATGTCCTTCAGCAGCCGCTCCTACCTGCCCGAGAAACTCCAGATCGTCAAGCCGCTGGAAGGTGATCACCGGGGGCCCCGGCCCCTCTCTGTCCTGCTCGGGGACTCCCTGTGGTCTCTGATCCACCACGGGCCCTCGGGGAGCGTCTGTCACGCCTACTCCTTCTTCTTCCGGGACAGCCACCCGCGCTGCTGGTTTGAGTTCCTCTGAGGGACTCTGGCCCAGGCCCCCAGCTCCGGTGCAGGTTGGGATAAACACACACAGGCGCCCGCGTCTAACCTCGGCCAGGAAGCCAGCGAAAAGGACAGGCCCTTGTTGGCTCGCTAGTTCTCTCGCTTTTGCATTTAGATCCTTAGCAATACAGATATTTTGCATTTAGATCCTTAGCAATACAGATATTGTTGAGAGCCAGAGGCCCTGCTCGCGGACTCAGACACTCCTTAGGCCCTGCCCCCCAGGTCTGAGCAGCGTAGAGAATTCATGCTTTGGCTTCTCAGAAATGTTGCTGTCAGGGAGGGGGTGCAAAGCTAACTCCCTAAGTTTTCTCAGTAACCACAGGAAAGCGATTTGCCGTTTGTCTTTGCAGTTTGTCGGCTCATGTTCTGCTTCGACCTTCGAATAGGGTGGCTTTCTTCCTGTGCCCTGTTCTGAGCAAGGCCCCCAGACCACCGCTGTCTGGGGGCCAGGATGGGGTGGCTGTGGAGGCCTGTGAGTTCTGTGCCTTCTTGATCCTGCCTTTTCCTGGGGCAATTCCCTTTTTTGCTATCAGGGACACCCCAGGTGATTAAACTCCTGGGAAAACGCACCTGTTTTTCTCTCTTTTTCCTCTAAGCATTATAAAATGTCTGCCCTTTCCCCACCACTACCCGGCCACATCTTTGTATTTTTCATTTTTTACCCCCGTAGTTTGGGAACCCAGGTGAGTTTGAGAAGGTGTCTTAGAATTCTGGATTACATTTCTGATGAAAAGCCAAATCAGAATTTCTGTGAGGCAGTATTTCTCAACTTTTAAGGAAAATTCCCCCCTTTAAGGAGCTGATTTAGATATCTATTCCCCCTGGAAATGTAATGCCACAGGTATACGTTCATGTACTAAATGTATATCCGGGCTCTGTGCCTAAGAAGAGTAGATTCTTTTCACCCCACAAGAACCCATCTTCAGCCCCTTGAGGGTAGTGTCTTCCCTGTTGGGAATTCCTGCCATAAGATGAGGTTCTGCTTATTAAAGACCCGAGACAACGGGGGTTCCATATTCTCTGAAGGAAGGAGGGTGGGTTATGTTCTTCTTTTCATGATTATTTTTTCATTGTATAAGTGAGGTCCTTCTTAGATTTCAAAAAAGGGACGGCCTTTTTTTTTTCTTTTCATGTTTATTCAGTTGTAAGCTTGGTGATTGTTTTCTGATCCACGATTATGTCTGTTTTTCTTTCAATAAAATCTTCCATTTCTGCAATTTTGCTTTCTGCCTATCTTTTATTTATTTTTTTCTCCTTTGTCTCTCAAAGATCATTGGCGTTTATCATCTCTATCTTGTCTGCTTTCTATATTTGACTTTGTGTTTCATTAGTTCATCGAAGAATCTGTTTTTGGATCCATTTTCCAAGCATTATTGCAGGAAGAGATTTTTTTAAAAATTCCTTTTGACCAACGCATCTTTTTTTTTCCTTTTAGTCTTGTGACTTAGGCAGCAGTATTTTTGTGATAAGTTAATGGAATAAGAGGAAATCCCTTTAGACTTGCAAGATAAGTTTCATCTATAGTACCCTGCTTACCCGAACACTAAAACCACTACCATTAAGAAGTCATCTCTTATCGCTATGGCCTGTAACACATCGCACGATAGAAGTCCTTCTGGCTCCATTTGGTAGTTCTCGGTCTTTTTTTGTTTGTTTGTTTAAAATACAACCAATATTTTATTTCTTCCTTCCCTCCACAATTATTTTTTGTGTTACTAAGCTTACTTTCCTCAGGTGTACGGCTGGCACGGAAATCTGCCCGACCCTGAGTTCAGCGCAGCTGTAACCGTGACCTTGGATAAGCCACCTCACCTTTTTGAGCCCCTTTCCCCTTATCTGTGAAGTAGGGCTCCTGTCTCCCACACGATATTGGAATGAAGAGTAAACGTGATGTGTTTTGTATTACGCTCAGCACCCTAATTGGTGCTAATGAAAACCTAGGCTCCCCAAACTTAGCCCTGTTCGAGCAGCTCAGGTCTGACGGTGGCCTTACCGGTATTGAGACCTGTGTTGGGGCCACGCTCTGACATCACCTCTTTCCACTGGCCCACTAAGTAGCTGGTAGGGTTCCCGTCACCTCCAGTGACCCAGGTAACTGTACCTGCGGTGAGGCCCCTGGAGACGGTGGCTGGGATCACAGCAGACAGCCAATCTGCGTCTTCCATCGGCATCTCCCTGCCTGCTTCATCAATCTTGCTGTCTGCCGGTTGGAGTCGGCCAAGATCGCCGGCTCGGTGTTGAAGCCCGCGGGCTACTCTTGTTTCCTCCGCTGACCTTACGTGTGTTAAGCAGGTGACAGACAAAACAATCAGACTAGGAGAGAGCTGTGTTACAAAGGTGAATCGGGCAGTGTATTTCCCTCCCTGGATTTTGCTCTTCCTTTCGGATTAGTTATAACCAAGATAGTATTTCCAAATAAACAAGATAATATGGAATTAGGGAAAAGCGCACACTTGTAAGCTGTACGTTACCCAGCAGGTTTAGTTCTAACTTTTAGGCCCCGGGTGCTCCTCTGACATAAATGGATTTGCTTTTTTTTTCTTCTTCGATGACGTGAATACTTTTTAGTTTGGACAGTGGGGTGTGAAAGGAAACGGGGAAAGGGGTGGTGACCATAGCTGTGTTCTCTGTACTGCCCAGGCCCTTGTTTCATAGAATTTCATCTTGGTGCCAACTAGAAGCACGAAGGTTCCACTCTCCACCTGCCCCTTGTCTGACCGCAGCCTCATTCTCCTGGGGCAGGAGGAGGCGGGGGGGGGTGGTGGGAAGTAGCTGGTAGTGCAGTCAGTCCTCACTTCACGGCGTCCGTAGTTTCTTGGAATGGCCGTGCCGGTGTGTCGGTGACCTGACTCCCGAGACTCGCCTCTGGGAGGCCCCTTGGCCGCTGGCCGAGAGGCAGTCTGTGTGGTTCAGAGGGTGGGCCCTGGAGCCAGCCTGGGTTTGAATCCCAGATTGGCCATTGGCCAGCTGTGCAGCCTCTGGCAAGTTACTTTACCTCCCTGTGCTCGGCTTCCTCCTCTGTAAAGTGGGGACAACTGGGTTATCGTGACGATGAAGTGAGCTCATAAATGTAGACCTCTAAGGAGAGCGCCTGGCACTTCGTACAAGTTAGCTGCTTGGTGAGTAAGGGAGGCCCGAGTCTTGGGGTAAAAATCCAAGGCCATGCATCATCTTGCAGCATAATCTTTCATTTGTCATCTACTACCTTTCCTTGGCTGTGCATTGTCGGGGAATGCAGATAACCCCCCGCACTTCCGTAGCCTCTTTAACGCCCAAAGCAGACCGGTTGCAGCCTCATTTCCCTCGGTAGCCCATACAGAGCGGGGAGATGGGGGCAGTCCGTTGAACAGGAAGATCGAGGTGCATGGACTCTGGGCCCATCCTCCAGCCTCACCGAGTTCTTCCCCAGAACATTGCAAACGTCTCGAGCCCCTTCCTTGACACAGTGTCGACTTGCCCGTTTTTCCCCTTCCAGAAGCAGAGGTGACCCGGCCACACTGCTCCTGGGGGTTTCTCATCATCCTTCTAAGACCCATATGTGCAGTCCCCGCTGGAGGCCATAGTCCCCATGTGCTTTTGCTGCAGGAAAGTGTCTGTGCCTCCAGCAAACACATAAGCAGGGGACCACTGTGGGTGATGAATGGAGGTCCCGGGGGGTGGGGCATGAGAAATCCCATCAGCAGAAGTGTGTGTGTCTCCTGGCGGGCACTGGGCACCCACCTGGCAGTTTTACTGCCCATGATGTATGCTTCTCGCTGGCTGGAGCGCTGATGTCCTTGTTTGTTTGCAGACCTGTGGATTGGGGTATCGGGGGAGGGGGCAGAGATTGCTGAAAGAACCTGGCCTTGAGCACTGAACCCTGGCGGTGCCACCCCTGGTTCAGTGACTTGGCAAAGTCACGTCCCTTCCTTGAGCCTCAATGGGTAATAATACTTACCTCGTAGGGCAGGGCAGCTTTGAGGAGTGAGTTGATGTAACACCTGTAAAGCTAGCTGTCACGCAGGCGTGCCTCAGCACAGGGGAGCTCTTTGTAAACGTGCTGTGCGGCCCCTGGGACTCAGGATCCCACCACCGGGTCTCGGCGGGTGTGCAAAGCCCTGGCCGTGTGCACACAGTGGCGCTTCTATGTGAGATGCCTTTGGGGAGAGGGTCCATGGCTGCCTCCAGGGTCCCAAAGGATCTGAGAATAAGGGCCACGGGCCGAGGCCAGGGTTCCCCATCGGCACTGCTGGCGTTGGGGGCCAGGCCATCCTTTGTCGCGGGGGCTGTCCTGCGTGTGTGGGATGGACAGCAGCGTCCCCGGCTTTGCCCACTGGATGCCGTGAGCATGTTCCTCCACGGTTGTGGCAACAACAGTGCCTCGGGCAGTTCCAGATGTCCCCGTGGAGAACCACTGCTCTAAGGGAGAGACCAGCTCTGTGGTGCCCTCTGTCACGCTAGGCATCTCTTTTTTACGATACTACTTCTCTTTTTTGCATTTGGAATACTTTCTTTTTATGGCCAATCGATGCCGGGTAAGTAGGCTGCTGCTGTTCTTATGTGAATGAGGCAGACCTCAAAGCAGGGTCCAGGGAGTCTCCTAGACATGTGCAGGCAGTGCGGGCCAGTTTTTCCCTCTCTTACGTGGATCTGAAATGGCCCATTAATGAAATTCCTTCACGGCTCCTTGGCTGAGATTGCCCCCCAGGAAGTTATTTTCCAGCTGTGATGAGAGATGGGGACCTCGCTGAGCACCGCCCCACCCCCTCCGCCCCCAGATCTGGAGCTCCTGATCGATGAGCTAGGGTTCTCTGCTTCTTGGTCACATTCCTGGTTGGCTTCCTGACCTCACCACCCGCCTGTCCCTTCTGTTCCATCCTGACTTCCTGAGCTGCTGGCTCCTGCGTCTGCTGCTCTCCTTCCTGACCTGGTAGCCTGGTGGCCTGGAGGGGTTCTTGCTCACCCAACAGAGGACACCATTGGTGACCCAGCGGAGGCCATGTGCGCGGAAGGCTCTTGCTTGCCCGGGCCGAGACCCTCTCACAGTCTGCCTGGCGTGTAGAACATGTATTTGTGTGGTTAACTTCATCTGGAGCACAGGGCTGGACCGCCCAGCCTCCCGGGCCGTGCACCCGGCGTACCAGGGCCACACCAGGTGTAGCAAGTGTTCCCGGGGGGCAGAATCGCAGCCCAGAGCAACGTACGAAAGGTTCTGGGATGAGCCTCCGTAGATGCACCTGGTCTTGGAACGCTTCTCCCTGTGAGCACCTGTGACACCGCCAGGTCCTCAGGGACACGCGCTGGTGTCATTACAGACCGTGCGCGGTGTCATCTGAGTCCCAGGCTCCGGTGTCACTGAGGAGATCGGCTCCTCGGCCTCAGGCCTCGGTGAGGACTGGCCGAGTGCTTCCATCACAACCCTTTAGGCCGGTCCCCATCCCTAGACCAGAGGTCGCTGGCAGATACAGAACAACTAAGTAAAGGAGGCCATGGCGGTGTCCCCCCCCCCCGCCCCCCCCATCGTGCGCCGCTTCAGTTTCTTTCTGCCTCTCTCTCCTTGTGGCGCCTGGGCTCGGCCTGGCATTGCCCCAGCCTGCTCTGCTGTGTCCCCCTGTCCCCCGCAGCATGTGCTCCACGGTCAGACAGGCTGTCCCCGCCCCCGACACCTTTTGTGTCGGTTTTGCTTATTTTTTTACCGCTTCTATTTCTAAAGTGATTCTGTGTTGGATTTGGGGGTTGACATCAGTTGATTTAAAATAAAGGGTTTGTCCCAAACACAGTATGGCATGAATTTTACTTAAAAAAATTGTTCTTTAATTCCTTAAATCGGTGCCCCTTCCGGGCGCGGTGGGTCTTAGCTACTGTTACAGAGGGAGGGGGAGGCAGCGCCCCCGTGTCCCTCCCAGGGTTCGCCTGCTGCGGGGCTCGGGTCCTGCTGGGGCCCCTAGGGTGGCGAGCGGCCGTCGGCTTAGACGTGCATCCTAACCCTCTCTTCTCCCTGCCCCCGTTGTCCGCCTTCTCTCCTGCAAGGTTCTGCCACCCTTCACCACTGGCAGCAGTTGGCCCAGCCTCACCTCGGGGGCATCCTGGACCCCCGGCCCGGTGTGGTCACCAAGGGCTTCCGGACGCTGGACGTAGACGTGGACGAAGTGTACTGCCTTAACGACTTTGAAGAAGATGACACAGGTGACCACATTTCCCCCCGGGGCCTAGCTACCTCCACGCCAGTGCAGCACCCAGAGACCTCAGGTGAGAGGTCCCGAGCGCACGTGACTGTCGCAGGCGGCAGAAGCTCCCCGAGCCGGCCTCAGGCTTTCCCAGAAGAGATGCAGGAGCCAGCGGCCGCAGAGGAGCAGGAGGAGGAGGAGGAGGGGTCTGGTGAGGGCACCGAGATAAGTCCTGTACACCCGGCACCTTCACCGGAGGCAGAGTTCTGGGCCATTCTCACCTCTGTTCCGGGCTCCATCCGTAGTGGCTCTCTGTCTGTAGCTTCCGCGCGTCCGTGTGGGTGATGATGGAAGCATTCCCATTGCGCAGCTGTTTCTAACACACAGTCTGATGCCTCCTTTCGTAACACGTGGGCACAGCTCCCTGCCCATCTTGGAGGCACACGCCCAGCGGGGCTCTGGACACCGGAGCAGGAAAGGCTGCTAAAAAGAAGTGGATTCTT